GTCTTGCCTTGTGCGACGACGATGCAATCGTTCGCATATAACAAAAGCCTTAGCTGTTTCCCTATTGATGGCGCTGCACCAGTCAAGCCGATAAAAACTGACTGCAAGAGGCTCGGTGAGATGGTATATCCTTGGCGCAATTCTCGATTATACTGATGCGATATGGTTCGCTGAACGACTTGATGTCAGTTGTGCAACAAGTGTCCAATTCTTGGGCAAGGTTGACGTAGACAGGGTTTATGCGGTGTTGATGCAAGACGCTGATGCAATATCTGTCATATATACACAGAAATTCTACGCTTATTTTCAAAGATGCCGAGGGAACACATGTGCATAGCACTCTGTGTACTCATGGAATGCAGTAGTTTCAGAATGGTAATTACGAATTAAAGCTAAACACACTTTCTGTCATGATGTTAAAATCATTAACTAGAATTATCGATATATTTATGAGTTGCCGACAGTACAAAGTAGGTTTTTTAAGCTCACAGTACAGTACGTCATGAAATAGTTTTTGGGTGAGTGTTGGAAGCCATTATTATCTTTATGCCTTTCTGCTTTCAGGTAGTCACAATAGCCGTGTACGGCTTCTTCGCTATTTGTCTCATGTCAAGACAGGTGATCAATGATAAGAGGAGCCTCGAGTACCTCCCGTTTCCCTTTTTCACGATGTTGCAATTTCTGTTTTACATGGGATGGCTGAAGGTGGCCGAAGTGTTAATGAATCCGTTCGGGGAAGACGACGATGACTTCGAGTATGGCGAGATATATGAGTGATCCAGCCGTATACGAAATGACCACGTGTTCCATTTCAGAGTCAACTACATCATCGATCGCAACTTGGAGCTGTCTTACATGATCGTCGACGACACCCACAACCAGCTGCCCAAGTTGGTAATGGACACACAATGGCTGCATGCCCCTGCCATTCCGTACACCCTGGCCGCCATGAGCTTGAAACGTGCCCCGTTTAAACCGTCAGCCGCTGGCCTCGAGTACGTCGCTTGTCATTTGTTTAACGGATTAGTCGGACGATCGCGCACTGTGTATATTTGCTTTCCATTGAGTGGAATTCAATGACGACAGTTCACGTAGCGGTTTTTCTAGGATTCTCAGTTTCCGGTTATGATTTAAGCTGTGGCAGTTTCAGTGGCTTAAAACGGCTAATTCTAATGCTCCAGAAATGCGTGGACTCCTGTCGAAGTGGAGAAGGAATCCACTCCAGTACGTTGAGACGACGGTGTTGTTCGCCACTTAAGAATGATGCCTGGCCGTGTCCAAAACTTCTCAAAATGCTTCTCGTTTCTGAATCCACTGGAAGGTTGGAAGGACGCCGAAAACAGTTCATAAGGTCACTAAGAATAATCTGCCTGATATCAACTCACCAAAAATGCTCAAGAAGACAGCTGACTTGGGGCACATCGACTTGCGTTTGGTGCCTGCCCACATTAGGGCAGGTGGGGTGAAGAATAAACAACTGTGATGAAAAGTAATTACAACTATCAGTGAATAACACAATTCAAAGAAGTTGAGCACCACCAGTATACCAAATTCGCTTTTTGACAATTTTTTCCTTTCCTCAGCCTTCTTTCCTAATTGGATTAGCCAGTAATATCGGCATAATCTTCTATTGTTTCGTTAATTAGAAAGAGTTGAGATATAGCTTGTGTCCCAAATCACCAGTTCCTATCGCCATTTCCTGGCGTCTTATATTTATGGTCTTCTGTATGAAAGGTAAGCCGCATGATGCGAAAGAGTTTTCCACGGTTTTTACTGAAATCAGCATTAACGGTTACCCGGTACTTTCGTCCGTAGTTACTGAAGGTCAAATCAACGATACAACTCAGAGAAGAAGGAAAGTCGGCGACCGTGGCGAGGTCTCCCGCAGAACTGTGGCCTGTCGCTCACAGTATTGCCATTTTCGAAGATGTAGCTAACTCGATCATCGCCCGCTTTACTAATGGCTACATGGACAGTTCAGGAACTGAGGCAGACGGCGAAAAGTCGGCGATCAGAACCTGTCTCTATCCTCCTCACAGCTGCAAGCGACGGCTGCCGAAGATCGACTAGACGAATACTAAGATGCCAGTCAGCAACGGAGCTGCTGTTTGTCACGAAAAGACGAGGCAGACAGAACAACTGCATTATTGCACGTCAAGGTAAGGCTTCAAGTGAACGATACCAAGAGTGGGAGTTCTCAGTGGAAAATTAGAACATTTCCTCACTAAGAGGAAAATTGTTAGAACCAGCTTATGATATCGTAAAGTGCTGACTGGACATAGATCGAGTCTCGTCAACGCAGCGCCAGTTGTCTGGAATTCGGA